AAATATGTAAACAAACAAATATTCAAATTATTTACAATATAATTGAGCTCTATTTCACAAATCGGGAACCATTTCTAGTCCCATCTTCTCCCACAAGTCATGTGTGCCTAAGAGGTTGTGCGTGCCATGTTTTATTGAAACTCAATGTCGTTTGATGGTTTTGATGTATCAATGGGTTGAAATTAAATTTTTTTAAGGACAAGTTTCCCTTGGTGGGCATTGAACTCTATCTTACAAACTGGAGACCGCTTTTGAGTCTCGTCTTCTCTCACAAGTCACGTGTGACTAAGAGGTCGTGTGTGCCAAGTTTCATTGAAGTGTGACACCATTTGATGGTTTTGGTATGTCAATGGTCAAAATGAAATTTTTTGAAGGACAAGTTTCCCTTGACGAGAATTGAGCTCTATCTCACAAATCAGGAACCGTTTTCGAGTCCCATCTTCTCCACAAGTCATGTGTGCCTAAGAGGTCGTGCATGCCAAGTTTCATTAAAATGCGACACCGTTTGATGGTTTTGGTGCGTCAATGCATTGAAATGAAATTTTTTAAAGGACAAGTTTCCCTTGACAGGCATTGATCTCTATCTTACAAACTGGGGACCGTTTTCAAGTCTCATCTTCTCCGATAAGTTACGTGTGACTAAGAGGTCATGAGTGCCAAGTTTCATTGAAGTACGACTCCGTTTGACAGTTTTGGTGTGTCAATGGTTGAAATGAAATTTTCTAAAGAACAAGTTTCCCTTAACTAGAATTGAGCCCTATCTCACAAACCGGGGACCGTTTTCGAGTCCCGTCTTCTCCCACAACTCATGTGTGCCTAAGAGGTCATGTGTGCCAAGTTTCATTGAAATTCGATGATGTCTGACGATTTTGGTATGCCAACGAATGAATTTCTCTCAAAAACAAGTTTCCCTTGATGGGAGCTATGCGCATTTTTGTATAGATTTAGATTTCACAAATTTCCCCAAAATGAAAGCATTGGCAGTAAGTCCATAACATAAGTTACATTCTCTGGCCCCCAAACTCATATTCCATAATTTAGTATATGTCTATAATATATTATCATATTAAGGAAACCAATACAAACATTGAAATTTTTCAGCACTATATTGTGTGCATTCTGTGAAATTTCTGTTTGTGGTAATGTAGGCATTGCAGTGTGGGTTATGAGTGAAAGATGAGGAAGCCTAACTGTGGGTTATGAGTGAAAGATGAGAAAGTGCAAGTTCATAAGAGTAATTTTATAGAATAAGACACAAATGTGAGACTAAGATGTGGGATCACACATTTGTGTCTCATTTCACTCCTAGTAGAGCTGGTGAAAGATTGATACATATATATACATTAACAAGGTACTCTGCAAAGGTACTCTGAGATAAGGATTTCCCTCATAACCCTCTTATTGTTGCTGCAAAGGTACTCAGCAAAACCACTGTGAAATAGTGCAGTGCCTATTCTGCTAGCCCACAAAGTAATCGAATTTTATCATCTTTTTTAAGAAAATAATATAATTCTCTAATAAATTGTTTCTCATACTGTCCAATTTCAAAAATATGTACAAACCTGTACACAAAGTGTAGCCAAAACTAATAGTACTGATTTAGCAAATGACACTTAACAGAAAAAAAAAAGAAAATAAAAAAACAATTATAGTGATGGGAACAATTGTAGAACAGACCCCCCCAATAAAAGTTTCATAATCTCTTGCAATACATCCAAAAACGTAAATTCAAATGTGCAAAATACAAAAAAAATAAATAATAAATAAAATTGTTCTAAGCAACTAAGTATCAAGAGACCAGACAATGTAGGACCCAAATGAAGTCTCTTACAAATCTGAACCTCTCTGGATCTGCATCACACATACACAACTCATCACCTTATAGACAAAGATGTAATAATGGATGCATTTGACATTTTATATATATATATATACATGTTATTATGTATCAATAAATAAGTAGACCAAATGAAAATTTAGATCTTGAATTTGGAAGGAAAAGTTACCTGTCTTAAGATTGTTGGACAATCTTCACTGTATTTAAAAAGATTAAATTCTGTTGTGTACAAAACAACAACAAGAATAAAAGAAATAGAGAAAATGAGAGAAATTTGTTTGATTACAAAAATCAAACTCGAAATGAAAATAAATAAATAAAATTACAGATTTTATTTTGTTACAAAAACAAAATTAAAATCTGATTAAATAAACAAATAAAGACAGAATAAAATTAAACAACTTACTTGGTTAATTTATTTGAATAACTTTTCTGATCAAGTCCAGTGTTTAACACTGTGTCCTTAAGACAGATTCGTCCTCTCCACGGTGCTTTCAGAAATTCGGACGTCTATCTCCCAGGATGAAATGATCTTACCACAAACAATAGCAGCACTACAAATTGTTTGAATCTGTTTATTCAAACAGATAGAAACGGGAAGGGCTCTGAAGATAAAGAATATAAATCCAAATCCGTTTAATTCTGTTTGAAAACGGGAAGGGCTCTGTTTGGATGAGCAATAAATCTAAATCCGTTTAATTCTGTTTGAAAACGGGAAGGGCCCTGTTTGGATGAATAAAAAATCCAAACAAATTTAATTTGAATTATGGAATAAAAAATAAAATTAAATTCAAATGTTTTTGGCCCAAAAAGATTAGAAGCCCAACCACACCATGCACCCAGGCCCAATGGACGGCGACGCGTGTGTGGTGATTTTTGGATCCAATGGGTCTTGCCCATTTTGCCCATAACCTCTCCTTCTAAAACACTTGGGTACCCCTTGGGGCACACCCCAAGTATCTCACCCTAAGCCTTATAAACCCTTTCAAAACTTCCCACCAAATCAATGTGGGACAAGCCAATTTACAACCTTAAGGAATTTCCACCAAAACTCCATTTCCATGGAGCACACTTTGGCTTCAATTTCCCATTCACTCGGTAATAGTTTTGAGCAACCAAATATACCACGTGAATCACAACGCGGCATAGAACGCGTTACCACTTTGACCCGAGTAAATCGACACTCGGGGCCCACCTAAAAAATAGACCGAACTTTAGGAAAAAATCTGGTTTTACATAGAATTTATAACCATTTCCAACAATATATACATGTTATTATGTATCTATAAATAAGTAGACCAAATGAAAATTTAGATCTTGAATTTGGAAGGAAAAGTTACAAGGAGGTAAGCCTCCTCAAGACATACTACACATTAGATGATGTTTGCAACTACGATATCCTGATGCTGTTTGGGAATTTCACTATATTGTTTCTGTGAAGGAATTTGAGCTGACTGACAAGAAGAAGCTAGCTAGATCCACTTCCAGAGTTTATAGAATCCATTGTTGTCCCTTACTGAACCGGTTGTGCACTTCCCAATAGAATCAACTATCTAAGGGACACAATAAGCTGATGAAATAATAATAATAATGTTAATTAGTGATTGACTAGAGAGCTCGTTTCAGATGCTTGTTAATTGATATTATTAATCCAGCATGCAAGTGCTCTATGATTTAAGTAAGTATCTATAATCATTTTCATGCCAAAGTTCCTTCTTCCCATGAATTAGAAAAATGAAAAGCAATGAAGCGGTCTTTGTCACCCAAGGCTGTTAGCAAAATGGCAAGACAGCACAAGCAGCCAAATACAAATCAAACTAAATTTATACCAATCAAACCAACTGCTTTGCTTGCTGAGCCATGCCATTAGTAAAAGAAATGGAAGCTCCAGACCCGTCCACGATGCTCATGGAACAGTGAAGGTAAAGGTGAAGGTGGATCCTATGATTAGTATATAGAGTGAAGACAACATGTATTGTAGTATCATAAACATTTATATAAATTTGAAATATGAGTTCTTGTAATTGTGTCAGCTGTGTACTTTTCTTTATTTGTGTGGGGAATATATATGTTGTGATATTCAAATCTATCATTTGAGATATCATTGCATTTTTAACTTGAAAGTTCCTATAAACATAGCCTTGGTTGGAATTAAGATTTATTTTTTTATTTATTTATTTTTATATTGTGGAATCTAGGGCCTTTTTTAATCATCGCATTGGTTGAGATTTCATTGAGTGGAATATGAAAAACTTGCAATCTAACAATCTTGAAAATATGTATATTTTTATTAGTTAAGGTCCCTCAATAATATTAATAGAAAATTTTCAATTCGTATGTGAATTTTCTCTTTGAAGAGTAGAAATTTCTTTGTTGTGAAAATGTTGATAAATCCCAACTACTACGAAAATGTTTTATGTCTTTTATCTTATAAAATTCTAATATTAGGGGCTTTAAACTAAAAAAAAAAATTAAAAAAAGCTCTAAGAACATCTTAATAAATGTTTAAAACTGTGTAATTATTTAATTATTTTTATGTATTAATGTACTTTAATTATCTTAATTTTGTCATGTGTCAAAACAAACATAGCCTAAACTTGTTAATATAGTAATTGTGGCAAACACATACAAATCCACTCCAAAATCCATGAATACGACACAGAAATTTAAATTAAGTCCCCTAAAAACACTTAAACAGGAAAATCCTTAGAAATCACAAAACTAATGAAGGTTAAACTACGTTTGAGATCTGTTTAACTTGTGCAGTTATAATTAAAATCAGTACAATTGCAAAATAAACAACTACAAATCTAAATTTGAATTTAATAAAGCTCCTATAATTCTTTAGGGATCAACTAAGGAGGTTACATATTAGATTTACAAGCCGTCAAAATATAAATAAATAAAAAAGAGATACAAAATGAAAATTCTAAATCAGTGTGAGAAATACAATAAATAAAAAATAACATTAACATGAAAAAGAAACGGCACTAAACGTGATAATGGTCCAATCTAGTCAATTAAACATTATTTAAAAAATAATAATAATAATAATAATAATAATAACTTTTCCTTTCCCTCACTAGAGATATCTTCATTGCTAATGACCTTTGAGTCTTCAATCCGCACGTTAGGTAGTTCAAAAAAAAAAACAAATCCGCACTTTAGGAATGTGTTTTCCTTTCCAATAATTCCCATCTTGTACGGCTTGATTCAACTTTGAAATTAATTTATCAGACATGTCAGACAATTCAAGTTGTTTCAGATTTGATAGATGTTTAGTGCCTGAGGGCAACTCCTCCAACAATTCACATTTCACGATGATTAGTTCTTCAAGTCGAGACATCGTACCTTCCTCCATTGTCACCCATCTCAATCCTTTTAAGTTTTCAAGGCCTAAGTACTTGAGTCTCTGAAATCTACCAGCCTTGAAACACAATCCCTCCCCTTCATATGATTCATCAACAAGCGAGAGAAAAACCAGATTAGGCAAATTTTGCAGGGATTTCAGTGGATCATCCCTTAACTTGCTCCACCACAAAACTAAGCGCGTGAGGCCATGAAGAGAAGTTATCCACTCCGGTAACTTCTCTAAACGTCCATTCAAGTATAGTCGTTGAAGAAATTGAGGAGCTGGAGATAAAGATTGTAGATCAAGGATCTCATCCTCTTCTATTGACTTCACATCTAATGAGCGAAGGTTGCTTAGCTTCTCAATGGAGGAGCACAAAACCACCCCATCTTCTCTTCTCAACTTCAAAATTCCCAACCTCCTTAATTGGGTGAGCCTTCCTATCTCTTTCACTATGGTACTACTGTTGGCATGGTTTGCCTCTAAGAAGCATAACTTTTGTAGGGATTGCAAGGCTCCTATCTTAGCTGGTGCCTCAAAGCCATGTTTGCAGTGAAATGGAAGATAAATATGCCCAGTTTCATTACGATATAACAAAAGATGGCGCAACTATTGGAGCCTTAGAATTTCAACAGGCAACTCCGTCACATACGTTTCTTTAAGATCTAATGTCTCTAGGTTCCAAAGCAATCCAATCGAATTTGGAAGCACTTTCACTTGTGTTCCTCTCAAGCTTAGATACTTTAGATGGAACAACTTGTCCACATTGCCTGGAAATCTCTCCAAAGAAGCATTTCTCAAGTGTAGAACTTTTAACAACCTCAACCCACCATTGAACAATAGAGGCATGGAGGACTCAGATATGGGTTCATCTACCCCAAACATAAGCAATGAACGTAGTTGAGAGAAACACTTACCTTCTAGTGGTATATCTGGTAAGGTTTTATGAATTGATAGTCGTCGAGCATTTTCAAGACACCTCACGCTTCCTTCTCTTGCTATCGTTAGAAAGTTCTGATGTTTTGACTTTGAAAGAATAATTTCACGCAAAAGGTCATGTATACAACACTTCTGGATCCTTCTATCTTCCCTTCTCATTGCTACTTGAATCAAGCTTCTATTAAGGAGCTCATAGAGGTAAGCCTCAGCGACTTCCTCTAGTGTTTTTCCTCCTTCTACTTCCACAAATGCTTCTGCAATCCACATTCGAATTGAGCTCATCCAATCGATCAAATGATCCTCTGGGAAACTACTCAAGTACAAGAGACAAGACTTGAGATAGTAAGGCAAATCATTGTAACTTAGCAACAGTATTTTCTTCATATCACTGCCTTCGACTTCAGCACCAAGACTACGATTTACCAACTCCCATTCATCTACTCTTCCCTGGTCCTTTGAAGCCAACACCCCAGAAATCACCACAATCGCCAGTGGCAAGCCCTCACATCTTCTCAGGGTACTTTTTGAAATTTCAATTAAATATGGAGGGCAATCCTTCTCCTGAAATGTCTTCTTACAAAACAGAGTCCAAGACTCTTCTTCAGACAAAGCTTTCATTTCATAGATGTAACCATGGGGTTTTCTACAAGAGGTAGAAGCAACATTACCGATGCGTGTTGTGAGTAGCACACGGCTGCCACAGTTGCGGTTTGGCAATGCAATTTTGATAGTATCCCATGCCTCAATGCTCCATACATCATCAAGGACGAGCACGTACCTGCTTTCTTGGAGGAACTCTTTGAGCACTGCTTTCAGATTATTGCTGTCCATGGTTTCAAACCTCTGAGGGAGAGGTCGTCTAACTTCATCAAAGAGTTGTTGAATCAAACCTGAAAGGATCTCTTCAATCTTGAATGATTGAGAAAGAGTGATCCAAGCATGGTTTTGAAAATGTCTCTTCACTTCCATGTCGTCATAAACTTTCTTGATAAGGGTGGTTTTACCCAAGCCCCCCATTCCCACCACCGAAATCACTTTGAGTGGAGAATCAGCATCATCAAGGACCCAATCAATGAGTTGTTGTTTAGGCTTGTCGATGCCAACAAGATCATCTTCTTCAAGTAGAAGTGCATCACCTCTTCGATCATAACATCCTCCATTGTTTGCAACATTGGAGCTTGAGCCTTGCTCTGAGTTACTGAATTTGTAACCATACCTCTGACGTCTCTGCGCAATATCGATGACTCTGGTTTTGATGTCCTTTATATCAGAGGCAATTTGACGACGAGCTTTCATGTTCTTAATTTGATAATAGATCTTACAAACAGATCCATAGAATCCATGATGATGACGATGACGATCAGCAAAGCGAAGCATAAACTCATCAAGAACGTCGTCGGTATTGTGAGCGACGTCTCTGACTTGCTTAACCCATGCTTGGATCTCTGGATCACTGTCTTCAATTGCATTAGCAACCCTCAGGAAGGCCCTCATGCTTTCCAGCTCGTCTCCGATGAACACAATTTCTCCCTTAACTCCACCCAACGATTTCAGCTCTTCTTGAATCAAGCTTCCAAGCTTTGTAAGCAAGAAGGCCACCGCACTTTCTGCCATAATCTCTCTCTTTCAAAGGTTGAAACACGTCTCGCCTGTGTAGTAGTAGTGTGTACTGATCTGTGGATCGATGTGGTTTTAAATGGAGAGAAGAGAAACAGAGAGAGCAGAGAGTGAAGAAGAGGGACACTTCAAGGCGTGTTACGGCCGCGAGCGGATCCTCTAGAGTGAATTGTCTGGAGTGATCTCCTAAAGTAGTTGATCCAACGGCTCAGAATAAAACTCACCAAAACGACGTCGTTTTGGTGAGTTTTATTCTGAGCCGTTGGATCAACTACTTTAGGAGATCACTCCAGACAATTCACTCTAGAGGATCCGCTCGCGTTACGGCCTACCCAAGTTGACTCCGATAACAGACCGACGTGTTCCTCCTTTGTTTATTAATTTATGAATAAATTATAAAGAAAATTATTGAAAAGTTGAAGGTAAGGAGAAGCGAATATTTTTTACACCAATATTAGCTATTATGATAAAAATTTTATGAAAATAATTATAAAAATTTTGTGATCTTTAAATTACACTTAGAATAAAATGTCACACACTAATCAAGATAATTTAAGAATCATAAATTTTTCATGATCATTTTCATAAAAAAAATTTCATGATCCGTAATTTTTCTCTATTTTTTATTAGCGAAAGGTTTATCTTTATAAAGTAGTTTGGTGAGAAGTTTTTGTTATTTATTTTAAAAGATATTTTGTTTTTAATTTTATCTCTTAATTTATCAGTTGACTTTTTTTAACTATATGTTTAAATTTATATCTATCTGTTTAAATTATTTTTCATCTGTCTAAATTTGTTTACTATTTATTCAAATTTATAGCTATCTGTTGAAATTTTTTCCCCTATCTATTCAAATTATGTGAGTTTCTCTCTCTATCTGTTCAAATTCTATGGGTTTCTCTTTATTCTTATCTGTTGAAATATTTTTTATCTATCTGTTTAATTTTTTTTAAACTATTTGTTCAAATATTTTTTTACCTATTTAATTTTTTGACTGTTCAATTTTTTTTCTTTTCTCTGTTCAAATATTTGTCCAAAATTTATTATTCATTCAATTTTTTCCCTGGGAAAAATTTATTCTATCTTATTATCTGTTGAAATACACCTAACCAGTATCTATTGCAATTTCTCTCTCTCTCTTTCTCTCTCGAAATTTCCTACCACCAACACTCAAATATAATCCAGTACACACACACACATATATCTTTTTTATTTTCATTTTTTATCTATTTAATTTTTAATTTTATCTGTTCATTCACCACTTTCCATTGGAATTTGTTTCATCATCAACGACAACAACAACACAGATCAATAACTAAAAAAAAATTAAAGAGAGAGAGCATGAGAGAAAGAGGAGGAGTTGGATTTGTGTGTTCAGAAGTTTAAAAAAAAAAAACAAAAACTATCCATAAGGAGTTGGATCAATGGAGTCTTCTTCTCCAATGGTCCTCTGCAAGCATCGTTGTTGTCTACTTGCTTGCTAAGAAAACACAGATTCAGAGTGAAGTTAAAGAATTAGCATTTTGTATACAATGTTTTAATGTTATTTTAAATTCTATGGAAAATTATTAATTAAAACACAATTAAAAGAAAAAAAGAAAAGGAAAGAGAGGTTTCATATCACACTTAAGAGACGCACCAAGCGTATGGATCCAAAACAATGAAATATCAAAGATCCAATCTATTTAAACTTAAAAAAAGAAAACGAAATCTTCAAGTTCATACATATTCTCAAAAGCCAAACAAATCTAATCACCAATAAGTGCAAAGTTAAACACATCAAAAGCACAAAATGCATTAGCAATCAAGTACCAGAATCAAGTTGCCCTGATAGGATAACACTGAAATTTGAAATGGCAGATCCATATTCCATGCCATCAAAGCAAGAGCATCCACAGTGGAGCTGTTAACCCTCCACTAGTGTCAGATGTTAAACTTTTGGCCAGCCAAACTTCATTTTGTTCCCATAATGGAGCTATTAAGGGTAATGTTAGTGGTGAAAGTGTAACAACCCTCATCACTGTTTACCGATTGATTACTGATTACCGTTAAACTGAGACTGATTATGATAAGCAATTGAATCGACTGAAATACTGAACTGACTGACTGAAATCTGGAACTGAATTGATTGAGTACATCTGTTTAATTGTATGTCTATCTGTTGCCTGTTTGATTATCTGTTTGTGTATTTATGTTTAAACTGCAAATTGAAGGCCTTATCGGCGGCCGAATCTGAAATTAATTAACGTTCCATGATCCTTAGAATTTATGCGATTTTATGGCATATTTATCTGAAATGTGATTTAGTATGATTAAATTAGATTAAAATAAGCTAAATTGCATGAGTTGGTTTATTCACCATTTTACCACCACTAGTAGGCCACTAGCTTAGCACTCTTGAGACTCATTTCTTTGTTTCAAAACACATTTCATCAGCCATTTTGTTGAGCTCAACCGAACTAGAGAGAGAGAGTTAGGAGAGAGTGTGATTTCATCTCTAATTGGCTTGGAAACTTGGTAGAAGTGAAGGAATTGAAGAGTAATTTGTAAACTTGAGCTTATATTCTCATAATTGAAGACATAAGGTAGAGCTCTTACCTTCTTAGTCATGAATTGAAGTATTTCTTGCATGATTTAGAGGATTGTTGAAGATTGGAGCCAAGATATGGCTTATAATGTTGATTGGAAGCTCATTTCATGCATGCATGTTTGTATTGTTGAGTTTTAAGTTGTTTTCATGGCAAAATGTTACATGCATGCTCATAATTATGTTTAAATCCATGATTTCGCCTTGTTTTGAAAAGAATCGGCTCATTAGAGCATGTATTGAAGTTTTGAATTGATTTAAACTCATGCATGTTTGCATGTTCATCATGTTCATGAAAATTGGTTTGAAATTGAATTTGATTGATCTTCCTTTGGGGCTTTGATTTTACAATTGAGCTTTGAATCATGTTAAACTATGAGCTTTGAAGTGTTTTCTGGAAAATTAGCCCAAGAGGATCAAATTTGGTATTTTAAAACCTGATTTTGAGCTTGAGGTTCAAATCTGGGAATTCCAGATTTTGAATTCACACTCGAGCGGGGTAACTGGCGCTTGAGCGTGGAAATCGTGCTCCCAGCATTTTGTTCTATTTTTGAGTCAGCTCGAGCGGGGTAATTAACGCTCGAACGGGACCTTGTGTCTTATGCTCAAGCGGGTGTCGAGTGCCCAATCGAGCATGAATTTCACATATCCAGCACTTTTGACTGTTTTGCAGAACGCTCGAGCGGGTAAGTCTACGCTCGAGCGAAAACCTTTGTCTGCATGTCCGCTCGAGCGGAGTAACCTACGCTCGAGCGTGACCCCTGTTTTCTGAAAATGTTTTTAAAGGGCATCCTTGCATCCTCATTTCATCCTAGGCATTCTTAGGCCTAGTTTAAGGCATCTTAATGAGGATGTAGATATAGAACACACCGAGGCAAATTAGGGATTAAGTTATTATATTTCCCAACTGTGTAGCTTAGTGTGTGTTCGTCCTGTAAATTGTGTAGAGTTGGCATCCGAGGACACGCTCTAGCTTGACTGTAGTCCAGAACTCTGTGAGTAACAATTATGTAAAGATATGTTCAAAGATGAATATTTTCTTACTGTTAATTGAACTACTTTCTGAACTGTTACTGTTAACTAAATGAATGTATGTCCTATATTCTGAACTATATTGTGGCATCCTTAGCAACTACTGTTACTGTTACTGCTACTATTACAGAGATCTCTGTCAGTTCCCATGTGGAACCACTGTTATGATGGCCATCATTGACTGCTCGGTCTTTTAAGACCTACTGTTTACTGTACTGCTATGCTAATGGATGTACCACATATGACTGTTACGACTGAACGATTGAAATACTGATTTAATGAACTGTTTTCATTACTGTAAGGACATTCATTCTTAATCTCCTTACGCATTATGTTATTCACTGGGCTCTAGCTCACTGTTTATATATATATATATATATATGCAGGTGTACAGGCACCAGACCGGAGCTAGGAGCGTGGGTTAGACTCCCTTTTTGTCAAGCCAACCACTGTGCCTCACTGCGAGGTTCCGAGCCTGCCAAGCTTTGGCTTAGGGGTGTTTTAATTTCCCCCATCTGTCTCTGTATCTGTTTTGTAATAACTGTATAGACTGATAACACTGTACTGTACTGCCTAATAGGGATTAAGTCCCTGTTCTGATCGACTATAATTGTACATACTGTTCTGTATTGTTCATGTATATACGTATGAAAAATCTTTTTGCATTCAGACTGTCACAGCTCATTGAACACTGTTTATTTACTATTTTGGCTTCCGCCATGCCCCTGTACTCTGTATTATTGTCTAACTGTTAAGCAGGCCTTTGGTAATCTCGGATTACTGGCCGGTTACGGTGCTAAACCCATAGGGGCGGGTTTGGGTCGTGACAGAAAGTTAGTGTCAGCTGTTAAATAGTGTTAACTACAGCCAACATTTTAGCCAGCGAGGGAGAGAGAGGAAAATGCTATGGGGAAGTCTGGCCGGATATCCGGCTAGTCATCTCCCCTGACATCTGGACCCTTCAAAAAAGAAAAAAAAAATTGCAGAGTTGTTTTTGGCCGACCGGATGATTTTATGGCCAGCCGGCTTATTTACCAAGCAAAGATGCACTACAAAAAAACAGAGGAAGGCACTAACAGTGCAGTGGGATGAGGGCCCACTACACTTTTCCTTTATTTTATATTTTATATATATATATATATATATATATATATTCTTAACACACATCTTAACACACACCTTAACACATCCATTGTATCACCATTCACTCACTAAATTAACAAACTTTTAACACAAATTTTTAGGTCCCACTTTTATCACTTTTTGTCATATAACACATTTTAACACACAATTTTAACAGATCCATTATGGATGTTCTAAACAAACCTTTAGCTTGTTTATCTACATTGTACTTGAATCTGATGAGGAGATCCTGCGT